GTGTATTTGTGAGTGTGTGTGTAATTTTTTTTTTGCCAACTTGTTAAGGGACGCAACCCAATATATTTACTAACAATACAGTACTTATCACATTTCCCAAGAGAAGCACTACAACCCACTTCCCCAAAAGCCAGAACAATGTGCAAAAATACATGTTACATGTTGACGTACTTTATCGATGCATGACAACACAGTTGTGTTAAACTCTCAATATTATATTTATGTTTAGAATTATCTTGGTCTTTAAAAAGTACTTGTGTACATTGCAAAGCCTGAGGTAGGCTAACCTAATAGTAATACTTACTCCGAACGCAGCCATCTTGAAGTGCACAATAGATCTAGATCTATAGTATAGGCTATACAGTTACTCAACATTTTCATCATTCAGTCAACAACATTTGTATGGCCATTCGACTAATTCAATGAGAGTTAGATTCTAGACTGTGGGTGGTTGGCAGGTGCTCTGGTGTGGTTTGCTTCTTCTTTCCTATCAAACATCTAGATCTATATCGTCCTCATTTCTCCTTCTTTTTTGAATTTGTTACTCTCTTGTAACATATCTATTCTTCGGCTCTTATATGACCTCATCGTGTGGCAAGTGCCGTAAAACTGTAACTAAAACTAAAAAAAGAGTTCCTCCTTGTATGGATACGATAGTAAAATACGACGTACGGATAGGGTTAGTAATTATGCGAAACCAAAATTGACTATGTCTGGCGATTCTATACTGTCTGAGCTAGTAGCACCATTGGAGACACCAACTTCCTGAAGTCTTTGTCCCCGTGCGTGAATTAGCATTATAATTCTGCATGACATTCCAAGACAATCTTCAAGCCTATTTTGTCAGACTTGTTTTATAAATAGTGTACAAGTAAGAACTTGCTTCATTTACTTAGATCTAGCTAGATATCTAGATCTAAATCTAGATCTCTGTATGCATTTCCAAAAAATCTGGGCCCTAGTTTGTTGTCTGCTAGCTCAGGCTCTCCACGATTCCAGCAGCCAGACTGAGACAGTAGATATCTAGTTGTGAAGTGTGTAGACTCTAGATATAGATTCTAGTACTGAGACAATAGCACTGAGACTGCAGCTCGTGTAGAATGTAAGAACGAAAGTAAAAGTGAATAGATCTAAATTCTAGATCTAAATCTAGATCTAGAATCTAGATCTAGATATTAGATAGGCCTATAGAGTTTTGTTAAGATCTTTAGGACTTTTTAGGTCTGAAAAAACAAACAAGGCAGGCGCTATTTGCAATGCTGCATCTGAATAGCTCCGATGCTATTTGAAACGCCAGTACTAGAATCTAGATCTAGATCTAGTAGCCGTCGTTTCTACTTGATAATATTGTAGTTCTGCCTGAATTGTGGAAGCTTTCTCAGTTTCTTGACAAACCTCCTAGGATTTGACTCCATTTTTATGACGTCTTATTCCGACCAATATTGGGTAGATCTAGATCTAATCTAGATCTAGAATCTAGATCTAGTCTAGATGTATCTCTATATTAGATCTAACTATTGTTTCTGACATTGTTTGCACAAAAGTAAACTAGACGTAGTCTTGTTCATCTCATAATCATAATCATTTGAGTTTTGAGTTTGAGCAAGTAAGTCGAAAGACGCTTGGATAAAACAATAACAAGACGTGGCAACTCGGTATAAAAGCAGTATTTCCTGTCAAAGTGTCGTCATACAATAGATTTTAGATCTATCTAAAAATATTATCTTTAAGTTAGGCCTAGATTCCTTGGTTTACTATTAAATGAGGGGTATTTAAACCCTTGTTTTAGAAACTTAAAGGGTAAAAGTCAATATCTCATCATATAATTTAATTTTAGTAAGATTTTTTGCTTGCAAACATTTAACTCGCACGCACACATTCACACAGACACACATAGAGTGACCATGACTGTGATCAAATGCTAACGATTTTGATTAGCTTTAGAAATAAATGAGTAATATTGACTTGAATTATAGAGTTGTGTCCTTTTGGAGGGGGGAAGAGTGGTGGAGGTTGAGCAGTTGGGTCGTCTATCGAAAATAAAATAAAGTTGACAAACCAAAAGGGGTCAGCTCCGACTATAATACTCAAAGAAAAATAGACCTGCCACTCAATGAAATCTAAAAGTCAGGGTCTCAGCGGGGAAAAAAATCGGGATGAACGACAAATCACCAAGGTCATTGCCAAGCTGACTTTTAAAAATTCCAGGGGTGTCCATTATTATTATATCCATGTATATTCCCTCTGCAAAGCAAGCAACATCTCACTGCGCATCAAGATTCGACTCTTTCATTCCAACATCAAGTCTGTGCTCCTCTACGGCTGCGAAACTTGGGAAGACAACAAAGACAGTGCTGAATAAAATCTAGACTTTCATCAACAGATGTATGAGGAATATCCTAATCTGAATTAAGTGGCAGGATAGAATAAGTAATGAAGAGCTATGGGAAAAGACAGGACAAAAGGATATAGAAGTAGAAATAGGACCAAGAAAGTGGCGTTGGATGGGACACACCTTCAGAAAGCCCAGTGGGAAAGAGAAGGGGGGAAATGATGCTTGCCAGACGCACATCACCTATGTTGTAAAGCGTATACAGACCCCCGAAATGAAATTATGAAGAGTAAAGCTCACGCACAACCAAAACTTAAATGGGATAATCTGTAGGTTTAATGCGTAATATACGCACATTTGTGCGTAAAGGGGAGCCCTGCTCTGTATAGCATCTATATATACATGATGCCGCTAAGAGTACTAAATCCGACTTAGACATTTGCATAGCCACTTGTTTCATTCGAGAAAAAAATTTCCCAGAAATTGGTCGATCACTTTTTGATCCAGAGCATTTTTGAGTGAGGTTGAAAAAACCAAAAAACCTTCAGTCTACGGTGCTTGTACATAGTAAAATCCCAATGTCTTCAGTGAGTTAAAAATGAATTCAATTTTCTGGGTAAAAAAAAAAATTAAACAAACTTTGTGCTGTTGAAGCTAGAGAGGTGAGCAGAGTAAGCCTGATTCCCTGTAAGGACTTCTCTGTTGACATCCACCACTTGGCGCTCATATGACCTTATGCAGTTGCGAGTGCCGTAAAACCTCTACTGAATAAAAGAATAAAAATAATTTTTTTAAAAATGAAACATTGCAAAAATAGATAGTGAAAATGTAGCATGTTCATCAGTCACAGTCAAGTTAGGGCTATCAAGGCAGACAGCGTGTGGGGCAGTACCAGACTGTAGTCGAACCTGCTTCATGGAAATTTCAAGACTCTCAACCCGTTTGCCCCATTGCTGTTGGAGACGGACATTTAATTCGGAGGTCCCACCCCCCTCCCTGGTATGGTTTGCTCCTTCTTTTCTATCAATCGTCTAACGTCCTTATCTTTTCTCCTTCTTTTTTTGTGTATGTTACTCTCTTGTAACACCTCTGATCTTCGGCACTTATATGACCTTATTGTGTTGCAAGTGCCATAAAACTCTTAACTAAAACTAATATATTTCCATTTTATGTTTTCAGGTACATTTGTGCCGTATGGGTTGTCAGCTGTTCATGAATTCTGGAGATGATGTCTGCGTCAGGTGAGGACTTTTGCCTGGCCGGCAGTTGTTACAAAATTGTGTTGGAATGAAAAAAAAAGTTCCTAAAACAGACTTTGGGGGAAAGGTTTCCCTGCCAATACGAAATGAATTATGTTGAAAAAGATTTTTTGCGATGACGAAATGATGCGATAAAGATGGAGACGAATATATTCCAATTGCAGGAAACGGAAACCAGCAAAGATGTTTCTGAAGATGGGATAGAGAACTGTGGTTCACATAAAGAGGATGTGGTGGGAACGACAGAAAAGTGTGATCGGGATGTGGTAGAGGAGGAGAGTTCTCTCTTGATGTCTGTCGAAAATGTGACTTCGGATGAGGAGGAGGAAGACAGCTGCAACGGTGATGGTTGCGGTGATGAAAAAGGTAATGTTCCGAGCAATACGAAGTGCGGGAATATAGTAAATGAGTTGAGGAGAAATGCTGAGTTCTCAGAACACATGGATGATCTAAGACAAACTGATGATCAAGTAGTGGCATCTGAAGCTATCGCTGAAACTCCAAATAACAGTAGACTGGTGTTAAAGTATTCTATTAGAAATGGTGAGTCCATCAGAGAAAGAAAATCAAGGGCGCAAGAGAACGATTTTCAAGGTCGTAATGTAGACATAGATGTGGAGGAGACGGAGAAACAGAAGACTGAAGGTAGCCCTCGCGGTAGTTGTTCTGGAAAAATTGGCGATGATAATGAAGGAAAACCCCTAGACGAAAAGTTTGCCAAGGGTGAGGCCTCAGACGACGACACCGACGTGGACAGTTTTCCCGAGGCGGAGGAGACAAGATGGAGGGTGAGAGTGGTGAAGAAAGCGGAGGAGGAAGAAGATAACGTGCACAGAAGGAAACGGCGAGTGCCCAGTATGCAAATTGTTTGGAGTTTGACAGAAGACCAGGATGCGGATGTGCCGGTCAAAGTGTCCGATGGCGGGACTGGTGGTCTGTCTTGTGGGTCGACGGTCGCTGCCGGGAGAAGTTCCAGCTCTCGCCGCAAGCGTGGAGAAACGGTGCTTTCCTCTTCGTCTTCCTCTTCCTCTTCCTCTTCCTCCCGCAGACAGACGGATGCTGGGACGAGCAAGTGTGACAATTGTGAGGAAGGTTCGGTTAGATTCACGAGGATTGGCCGCTTGAAACAAGAAGTGTACAAATGTGATGTGTGTGGGGAGACCGTGCGAGGGCGGGATCTGAAAAGACACGAGCAAATCCATCGGGGAAGTGGGGTGTCAGAGAACACTTCCTGTGGGGTGGTGTCTCGTTCGGGGGACGTGCAGTTGGGTGCCGGCGAGAATGATAATCACGCGGAAAAACTAACAATTTTTATTGGGAAATCTATGGAGAAACAGAAAGGAAAAGGAGGTGCGAAAACCAAGAAAGTGGCCTCGTCCACAGGAGAGACGGTGCTGACGTGTGACCTCTGCGGTATGACCTTCAGCCGCGCGGGCTCGCTCAAGAGACACAAGTTGACGCACAGCGGGGAGAAGCGCTACAAGTGCGACGTCTGTCTCTCCTGCTTCAGCCGCGACTCAGATCTCAAACGTCACAGACTGAGCCACTCGGCCGCCCGCCCGCACAAGTGCCACGTCTGTGAGGCGGCCTTCGCCCACGCCAGCTACCTGAAGAGCCACGTGGTCATGCACACAGGGGAGAAACCTTTCAAGTGCCAGGTTTGTGGCAAACGCTTTTCCAAATCGGGACATCTGAAGAGTCACTCGTTGGTCCATACCGGAGAAAAACCAAACAAATGCGACGTTTGCGACGCCCGGTTTCGGTGGGGGAGCTCGCTGAAGAAACACAAACTCCTGCACACCGGGGAAAAACCATTCAAGTGTGACCTGTGTGAGGCTTGCTTTGCCCGGCCCGACGACTTGACGGAACACAAGCTGGTGCACGCGGAGATGAAGCCTTACCAGTGCTCGCTGTGTGAGGAACGCTTCAGCCTACCAATAGACCTCAACAAGCACGAGCTCTCGCACGCGGGGGGGAAACCCTTCAAGTGCGATATCTGCGGCGCGGGGTTTGCGCAGTCGAGCAGCGTGAACAAACACAAGCTGATGCACCTGAAGGAAATGCCGTACGCGTGCGAGAAGTGCGGGGAAAAGTTCCGCCGGATCGTCCATCTGAACCAACACCGTCTCCTGCACGAGGACGAGAAGTCCCACAACTGCGACATCTGCGGGGCCACGTTCCGCCGGGAGGGGTTTCTGCGGAAGCACAAGCTGTTCCACGCCCGGCGCAAGATGTGCAAGTGCAGCGTGTGCGACGAGCAGCTCCGCGACACGGCCTCGCTGCGTCACCACATGCTGCGACACACGGGCGAGAAGCCGTACGCCTGCGACCTCTGCGACAAGCGGTTCACGCAGCCCAATAGCCTCAACCGCCACAAGATGATCCACTCGGGCCAGAAGCCGTACGCATGTGCCATGTGTGGGAAGAGGTTCACGCGGCCGGGCGACGTGAAGCAGCACAGCATCGTGCACACGGGCGAGCGGCCCTACAAGTGCGAGGTGTGCAACGCGGGCTTCACGCAGTCCTACAACCTCAAGATGCACAAGCTGGTACACACCGGTGAGAAGCCGCACCAGTGCGACATCTGTCTCACCAGGTTTGCGCAGATGAACACGCTGCGTCGCCACCGGCTGACTCACACGGGGGAGAGGCCCTACAAGTGCGACTTTTGCGACACGCGCTTCACGCAGAGGAGTGCCATGAACAAACACAGACTCATACACACGCGGGACAGTTCTGCCAAAATTTCCTGACTGTATCCGTGAAGAGTTTTTATAGTTGTTTTTTGGGGGGGGTTTTTGTCTTTTGTTCTTGGAACTTGAACTTACCATTTTTCTGTTACTATTTCCTTTTGCCATTTCACGCACATTGATCTAAATTGTGTTGATGGGGAGTAAAATCACCTACTTCTGAAGCATGATTAAAAAAACCAAATCAGACAGACATTAAATTTGTCGATCCCACCTTTTAAATAGTCGCTTTTAAGGACAAGCGGGCTAACCCAGATTTCGAGGGTTTCTAGAAATCTTGACCTACACCAAAATTGGGCATTGCCCTACCTATAGGAGAAGTTTGGTTTCATCGGTGTGTATATTTGTTTGGTTACAAAGAAAACTCTCCTTGTTTTTTAAAGAAACTGAACAAGGGGCAAAAACTTTACCTACGATTTTCTCAAAACAGCATATTTTGGGACAGCCCCCCTTGTGCTTAAAAACGACCAAATAACCTAATAGTGTTGATAAGGGCATTGAAACCACAGACTAACAAACTCGCTACAGGTATTTCAGTAAAGTTTCTCTGAAAAAAAAGTGGTAGTTTTGAACTTTTGAATGATTAGAAGTTGAAACCTTGGACGTGTAAATTTTCTCGCTCGTGCGAGAAGCGGGCATGTAGGCTACCGTGTACCTAGAGGTGAGAAGGTTGTGGTTAGAGTAGTTAGACCCCGGCCGGTGATACATTTTAGTTCTTTGGGAAGATTGAAGAATACCGGACCACTCGTACATTATTGCGCAAGAATGTCCACAATGTGGGGTAGGTGGGGCGGGTGGTTGGGG